TAGAATAGAATAGAATAGAATAGAATAGAATAGAATAGAATAGAATAGAATAGAATAGAATAGAATGTTTGGTCTAGTGGTGAAGGCACCAGGCTAGAAACCAGGAGATTGTGAGTTCTAATCCCGTCTTAGGAATGAAAGCTGGCTAGGTGACTTTGGGGCAGTCCCTCTTTCTCAGTCCAGCTCACCTCACAGGGTTGTTGTGGGGAATATAGGAGGTGGAAGGAGTATTGGATATGTTCGCTGCCTTGAGTTATTTATAAAAATAATAAAGGCAGGATAAAAAAATATTTTAAAAATGCACACAAACTTATTTTAGAGAAAAACAGCCTGCCACAATGGGAAAGTGTGCACAGAAATTGTGCACCTTTCTACAGTTGCTTGGAAAAGTGCCCAGAAAAATGAGTAGATTAGCACAATGGCTCAAGAAAACGCATATAACTTCCCATACACTCTTCTACTTTTCTTCTTTTTTGGCTAAGTTGATAAGATTGTGTAAATTTGCTGAAAAGAACCAACAGGCAGGAGAATGAAAAACGGAGCGAGCCTAAAATGGACAGATTCAAATACAGAGGGAGAGACAGAAATGATAAACTATTCAGGAACTGCTTGAATGTTCTGCATTCCATGAAGAAAGACAAAATATATTTCAGTAGTGATAAAGGACTGCACGTTGTAAATGGAGACTGGGGCAGGAATCCTCTTCAAAGACTCACCCTTCAGGCGAATTTTTTCCCTTCGCCTTTCTATGAAAGGAAAGAGGCAGTCCCTTCAAACTATGCCCAGAAAACATTCTGTTCATCAGGGTTTTATTTCCATTTTTGTTTTTGGTAGCTGGAGAGAGGCCACATGCGATTAAAGGAACTGAATTGCATTTGCCAGCTTATCAGCAATGACCTCCCAGCCCTTCGCCCCAGCTGTTCACAGTCTTAGTGCCAGCACTTTTTTCTAGAAGGCATTTGAGGGGGTCGCCCAAATGAGTGTACTCTTTTGGGCCGCACTTTCCCATAATACATTTTTGCAAGGGTTCTGTGAATTGCAAACTTCAGCACAAAATTCTGAAAAGTACAAATTTTGGGCAGCATGTGCTTTCCTGTTTGTGTAGTCTGGAGGAAACATCCTGTTTGGGCACCCTCAGAGCTCCTCCCAACTGCACTACTGAGGTCAATCTCCTCCCTGCCTGGTTTGTCATGAAAAACAGATGAGGACTAGAGTGTAGATCAGGCTAAATAGAAAGCAGGTTAAATACAGTTTAAACGAAAAAAGAACGGCGATGTCTGCAAACCCACAGGAAACCATACTAACATTCTTAGCCTAGATCATGTGCATACTGTGTTTGCACACACTTGGTATCCCTATACCTCCTGCTTGGGTTCTGATTCCTCAAGCCTATTAAATGGGTCTCCTGAACACTGAATGTTTGCTTGTATGTTAGGCAAGAGTACAGTAAGTGAACTAAGGAAATCTGAAGCTCTGGTGGAAGATCTGAGTTTTTGTCCAAATCTCATGACTGCATCATTTCTATCCTGCAGTAGGAAGAAGGGAGTGTGCAGAGATCTCTCTTGATATCCTTAGGAGTCACTTGCTCTAGTCAAGACTTAGCCATCTGGAGGAAGTCAGCCATCTGGTCATTCTCCTCTCTTTCCTTAATCTCTAAACAACACATGCCACGGAAATCTTGATACTACTCAAGTATTAATTAGACTGTAGTTTACATCAGCAGGCTTGGAATCTGAGAATCCAGGTCCCACCCCATTTCCTCTGAAGAAATCTTGGCAAGTCTGGGAAGTGGTTGGAGCACGAATGCATAACTTCTACTTCCTTCAGAACATCATAGAACTGATGACCACATTCACAGAACTTCCTAAGCTATGTGTCATCCAAACAGGGGCACAGCTGAAACAGTGACATAGACAGAGACTTTTAATTATAGTCTAGAAGCATGGCTTATTTTATTTCAATTGTGGATCCACTTGTCCTCCAAGTCCTATGACTAGTGTATGATTAGGCAGTCCTCAGTCTACTT